GGGACTCGATCCGGGAACTCCAGGATCATGACCTGAGCCAAAGGCAGTTGCTTAACCAACTGAGCCACCCAGGCGTCCCTCCACTGATTTCTTTTAATTCAAGTTAGAAACTACAAAGCTCAATATTATGAAATAGAAAATGTTAAGATTTTATATATATGTGTGTGTGTATACATATATATATATATGTATATATGTATATACACACAACAACAACTTGTAAGAGCTCAGAACAAAAATTAGCAGGTTTCTCCATGGACAGATTTTATTAAGATTCAAAAAAAGGCTTTATAAAGACCAATTGAAACTATGGTTAGAATAAAATGAGAATTGGTCATTAAGTCAAATAAAATACTCTCCTTCATATATCATTTTGACTTGGATTGCAAGTGCATGGGATCTCCTATGAGACTGTGGAAAAACTAAGGTATTTATAATAAGAAAATGCTTGGACTCTCTAAAATTGTGCAAAAAAACCCCAATTTCTTTGGCATTACAGGTAAAATAGGTACAATACATAGAAAAAAATCATTATGTTATTTTCTGAATTTAGGTGTATAGATATTATTGGATAGTGTTGGTATGTTTGGCTAAGAATATGTAAGTATTATTTTTATGTGTAATGAATGTCTTTGGACATTTTGAGATTAAAACCCTAAAGGTTGTCTGTGAATAGGCCATATTGCTTGATACAGTTTTGGTCAAGAGGATTATCCAGAGTAGTTCTCTACTGCTTAGTTCAGCTGGGAAACTTCCAGCATGGAGTCAAGGACCCTTGTGCTTTAGAAGTTCATTCTGAAATGTACATTGCTACTTTTAGGAAGCTCAATGAATGAGACTTTCGGAACTTAATCCCAATAAAGAAAGATCATCTCTTCAAAGTCCAGAAGTGCCATCATTTTGACCTTTGTCACACAGCAGAAAATGAAGAGTAGCACCAGGTCCTTTCTCGCTGTCTTCCCTCTCCATGTTTCTAAGTTCTTGACCCCTCCATCTTCTTCTATACAAGAGAAATGACCTTACTTTATCTCTGTAATTCCCCCAATAAAGGCACTGAACCCAGCTTTTTGGGGTTAATTATCTGATCCTCTCTGACCATCTTCCTACTCAAACCTTTTGTGCTGTTAGAATTTCCCTCTGCTTGTTTTGTTGATTGCCCATTCGGTGGGACCCTAGCTGAGTAAACACCAGGCCAACAAAAAGATCAATATGTATTTTTTTCCAGAGTGAAATTCCTTCATTTCAATCTCAGCCTAAAATGAGATTTACCCACCCCTCTAACAAAGCCCTTAGGATATGGAGCCAAATAATTTTCAGGAGAGATATATTACTCACCAGGTTCTCAATCAACTATCTAGATTGTTAGAAAATTCAATAATCCATGCACACACATTTCTTTTGGCATTTGAGACAGCTGATGTTTAATATTTTCTTTTAAAAGTACACAGGAAAATAACTCTTTTAGTCAATGCAACTCAGAGAGAGAGGAAAAGGATGGAATTTCAGAGCAAAAAACAAAAAGTGCATCCTTCTTTAGGGTATCACATTCCCACAATCCCATTTCCATAAAGCAAGACTTTTACTCCAGAGCAGAGAGGAGCCTGGAATGGTAACTCAGATATTTAAACTATGTATGGTTTACCTGGAAGGGAGTTTTTATAAGAATTTTTAAAACTTAAATAATTAGTTAAGATGTGCCAAGTCAACTTGTTGAGATGGCACTAGGTATTGTATGTATGTGATGAATCACCAGATTCTACACCTGAAACTAATGTTATGCTACATATTAACTCACTGGAATTTAAATAAAAACTTGAAAATTTTTTTTTAAAAAGAGGTGCCAAATCTTATATTTTGAAAGATAGACATATCTTAAAAATAGAGATTTGTTTTACCTTAGTTATGTTGATTTCAGTAGAATTTCCTTAAAGGGCCAAGGCCTTTTATTTAAATACTCCTCAACACCACTGAGTCTTCTATCCAATTCTCAGTCCTAAAAAAAGTAAAAGAAATAGATTAAGACTTAATAGTTGTTAGACTAGGTGAGTCTGATAATTTACAGGTGAGAAAGAGAGTTCAGATTTACTCAGTGTAAAAATTCTGAGTTGATATTTAGCTTTGTCCACACTATGTGTGTAGCATTCACCACTCTGGTTCTAAACAACCATGCCTGCAGTCTTTCGCTTTCTCACCACAGAATCATCAGCAACCAATGAAAGAGTCAGATTGCACCTAACTATAAGGGAAAGTCATCAGACTTAGTTATTGATAATTTCCTCCAGGTTACAAAACTGTGGAACTTTCAGCTTTTGGGGCTAGCCCAGGAGCAAAATCATAATAACAATAATAATAATACCACCAATAACATAATAATCTAAGGAGTATACTTCTGATATACCTTGTATGAACACTTTTTGAGAAAAGGTAACCTTAAACAAAATATTCTCACAGGGAGACATACGGATATAGGTAACCCAAATCAGTGATATTCTGAAACAAAATAGACACTTTTTGTGGCTTTTCTGTGCGACAAGGTAGTAACCCATATTCCAGACATAAATTTCTTCAGGGAGGACTTAAGGAAACAGGTGTCAGTCTTAATAGAATTCAATCTCATAAGTAAAAATCAACTACCTTTCTCTTGTACTTGGTGTTTATGGGAAGCTATGAACTCTTTAATGTTCATAGTTTATTCTAGGTCTCTAGAGCAATGGAGGAAGATGGGAAACCAATCCTGATATAACACTATCTTTAGTAGGATTATAGCATTTGTAGGTCGTAGAGAATTTCAATATTTCAGTGATTCAGGCAAATATTTTTGCTAACAGATTTGATAATCAGGTTATGTCTTTGGGACATCCTATTTTTTAAAGTCAGTCTTTATTATCCAAAGGAAAAGGAGACATAGAAAATAGATGAAGAAACATATTTTTAATCTAATGAATCACATCCTAAAAAATGACAAGCAAGTGCAGCAGAGACATAATAAAGATTTCCTATAGTTAAAATTACTAGTTATTTGCATAATCCCAACATCCGTCTGTTAAAACAATATGTACCCACATATTTTTTGTTTCAAAAAAGAACAGCAGGCAAAATAGCCATAGAGTTAAAATTCATGGATTTGAGAAAAAATTATATATTATGAACTTTATTTATGCAGAATAAATCCCAAATTTACTTTTTCTTTATTCAAAGTTTGAATATAGAACTGCTTCTTAGTTTTATGCCAACTTTTGAATAAATGAGTCATGAGAGGTAAAGCTATTGGTTGATAACAGAAAATATAATAACAGTACTCACATTTTGACATTTCTATTGCACCTTTCACCTTGAGAAAATCCAAGGCAATTAACCTGAAAGTCATTTCTATATTCTTGGGATTTGCAAGCCCCAACTGAATCCAGTTATCTTCTAAGTTATCTAAAACTACATGTAGAGCATCCACAGCCCTGTCGACCTGTCAACCTACCTTACTCACATTTGCTACCAAAAGACCTCCAAGGCCTGGTGAAGTACCTGACCCTTTAAATGATGGCCAATTTCATAAACCAGAAGGAAAGACTGCCTTTTGTGACAACATTCATGGGCCTTGAGGGCATTATGCTAAGTAAAATAAGTCAGACAGAGAAAGACAAATACTGTATGTTCTCACTTTCATGTAGAATCTAACAAAGCCGAACTCATAGAAACTGAGTAGAATGGTGGTTGCTAGGGTATGGGGGAAATGGGGAGATGTTGCTCAACGGATACACATTTCCAGCCATAAAATGAGTAAGCTCTGGAATCTAATGTACAGCATGGTGACTACAATTAACAATGCTGTATTATATACTTGAAAGTTGTTAAAAGAGTCCATTAAAAGTTACCACCACATATTCATGTAAAAATGGTAATGGATGTGTTAACTAACCTTATTGTGGTAAACATTTTGCAATATATATGCATATCAAATCATTATATTGTACACCTTAAGCTTACATGTGTTATATGCCAATAATATCCCTTTATCTATAAATGATGCTAGTTTAAAAACCTGATGGCCAGTTGGTCATAAAAGCTAACATCATTGTTTACCCAGGAATGAACCATACAAATTCACTGACTTTATACTTTAGGGCTAGGCCTACCCAGTCATTAGGCAGTTTATTTGTCAATCAAATAGAATATTAGTATCTTGAGGTTTTAAGCATCCTTCTGTGTTATAGAATTCAAATTCTTACTAAGTACAAGAAACTCATGATTTCTGTTGTATCAGTCCTCTGTCTTAATACCCCCAGTACATACACAATTCTAACAATCTTGTCTATACCCTTTAATCAGTAAACTCTCATTTTTTATATTGCAAAAGACATAAAATGTAGGTTCTTGCTTTCTAAGCTTTTACAGCTGGTAAATAAAAAAAACAAACATAATATTAAAAGTACTATGTTAGAATATAGTATCACAGAGCATTGGGAACACAAAGACAGGGAGTAACAAGTCTACCTGGGCATGAGAGTTGCAGAAAAGGCTTCATGGACATAAAAAACTCAGATAAAATGTTAAGCAAAAACAACAATAAAAAAAATCAAATTATAAAATTATATTTACAGTATTAGCTCAGTTAAGTAAAGAAAAAATAGAAAAAATAAAGAAGTCAATATATTAAATATGGTGCCTTTGCATACTGGAATGATGGGTGATTCTTTGTTTTTTTGTTTACATGTAATACTTTTATGCTCTGGGAAAAAACTCAAAACAACAAAATTTGTGGCATCAGAATGAAACACATTGAGTCTACTTGAGGGAGAAGAGAATATTTTTCATAATTGCCTCACTCTTAATTAACTAGCTTCAGTAAAGAGTCTTTTCAAAAAGAGAAGAGATAAAGAATACTAAACAGAGCTACCCAGAAGACAAACTACCAATTCTACTACCACTATAGTCAGATAACATTCACGGTGTCACTGTTGAGTGTATATCAGCTTCTAAAGTACAGCATTCAAGCACATGAAACAGTATTTGTTTTAATACACTCTTTAGGGAATGAATTTGAAAGACTTTTCTGAGTTGTCCTGAAAAAAAAAAGAAGAAGAAGAAGCAGCCTCCCACAGCTGGCTCCTCTATTTTTGGCTTCTCCTATCCCTGTTTTCATGGCAGCTGAGAAATATTAATGTGAGAAAAGTATCTTTTATTTTAGTCTTTAGAAAAGAACTCAACAGAAAACCCTGCATCTTTCATTGTAAAGGGTAAGAGTTCCAGGATCATACTGTGGAAGTACATTCCTGGAAAAACCTGCAGGAATGAAAATGTTACATAAAATAATGTGTTCGACTCACATATGACTTCCTCAACATGTATGTTGTTTACATATAATGCTAAAAAAATATTTCACTAAAAGTTAATATGTCCCCTAGGAATAGTTATATAAAATAGGTGTGTAATCAATTTCATACATAGAAAAGGCAAAGTGGAAAAAAAAAATCCCGTAATCACCACCAATAAACAGAAAAAATGTTTACCAGATCCATTTGAAAATGGGAGAAACATTCAGCTTTACGAGAGACTTTTTCCTGACCCTTCCTATTCATCTTACCTACCTATAAAACTAAACGCTTCAAAACATTAATCTTGAAAAAAGTACCGATCACATTTGATCCAGCAAATTGGCTAAAAAAAAAATGCAGAACTGTAGTCATAGATCCAAACCACATTTGAAAGAGTAATGACAAGTTACTTCAGTTTTAGTGACTCAATCAGATCATATGGTGAGTCATTTCCAGACATATCGATAAACTCATTGATTCCTCTCATTCTTGTAGTCACTGGACTATAGAAAAAAGGATCAGTAGCCATTTGACCTTCATTGTGTATTAAACAAACACCAGATGGCAAGGATTCATTCAGGAAATCCATTCTTTCTTTTTCATAGTCATGTTCACACTGCTGCTTCCCACTGAGCCTTTCTCTCTGCTTGTCATGGTGCCAAAGCTGCCTGCATAGCACCTTTCATGCATCACAGCTTTCAAATCTTGTCCCATTAGTTTCATTTTGTTTCCATCATAAATAATCTCCCACTTTCTCATACACTCTTTCATTATCTAATAATGGGCTGGGTCACTATACAAAGGAGCCAAGTATTAAAGGGTTAGTGAGTACAGTTTGTCCACTTGGTTTCTGGCCAGTGTACGAACTATTTATTAAACAGATAAATTTATGCACCTAAAAAAAAGAGACCTAGGGGATGCAAACATCTCCATCCTGCTAACACATTTCAGGAGCACAAGATGCAAAAAAGTGAGGACAATGGAATCTCATATTGGAAACCTTAAAACACTATACCATGAGTGTAACCTAATTCAACCTAATTATTTCAAGAAACACACAAAAGCAAATACCCTATCCTCTGTAAAATTCCATCACAATTCCTCTCCTTGGCCATTCCCTAGACTCATTTGGACATCAGCCAGCCATCCAGAAGTGTTGAAATGCTGGTAAGCATTTACAAGCCAAGTGACTCCATTCTAAGAGTGTTATCCTATGATGAAATTTCACAGAGTCCAAGAAGGGAGATTTGTCTTTTTGGAGAATGTTGTAAAGAGACAAAATAAGAAAGCTGGACGTTATGTAAGATTTATTGCCAACACTGCAAAGTTTAGTACAAACAAGGAGCATTCCCTGGGTCTCAGCAGAGCAGTTCTTCAGTGTTCACAGGAAGTTAAATATTGAGCAAATAAAGTATTCTAACAGAATCAGATTCTTCCATTATTTAAGGAAATGTTAAGAAGGTTAGAATGCAGTGTGTAGGATGTTATAAATATAAATATGTCAGCACTGAGTTAAATCATCCCAGCCTATTATTCCCACAGGCAGGCCAATTATCAGGGATAATTGGACTGATAATGAGCATTCTGACTGGTCGAGAGGTCCCTCTTGGGGTACGGCACCCCTTCCCCTTATAAGGCTGTCCTCTATGCCAAGAATGCCCTAAGTTATAAATGGGGACATTTAAAAGAATGTAGTATTTTTGAGAAAATCCAGCTTATATTGATTGAAATTAAGGTGTTGAATGCTAAATATTTTTTAATAAAGAAGGAAACAAGCTATTTAATAAAACACAATAGAGGTAACGCAATTATTTTGTTTTTTCATAAAATATTCCCATTATATGAAATAATTTCAACTATATTTAGAAAAATGGAAAAGAAAAAAGACCCACTCGTGACCTCATCTCCCTAACAGAGCCAATTTAATCCTTTTAGTGTTTGAAATACATGTTTAATGCAAAGTCAGTTGTATCATTTGTGTAACCAATTATTCTATTATTTACCATTATATGTTGATAATAAATTCATATTAAACGCTGTCTATGCCAACATATTTAACTAAATATTTTCTACCTGGACTACTCTTTCCTGCCCTCTTCCATCAGATAACTGCTATTTATTCTTTGACTTCAGCTTAATCTTCACTTCTTTGGGGACAGTTTTTCTCTGACTTCCCAAGCTGAGTTCGTATGTACCCTCCTACAGATTGCCTCTTCCTAGCCCTTACTATTGTGATTATCTGATTAATGTCCATCTCTTCTAGTAAGCAGTAATTTCCATGACAGCGAAGTGATTCTTCTTGTGCTTAGGATCATATCCCAGAATAGCGCCTTGCACATAGTAATTGTTGAATAAATAATCATTGAATGAATGACTAAATGAATGAATTTAAGCATTTTCTGCATAGCTCTAGATGGTGAGATCTGAAGAAAGTGGTTTGTATACTGATCTATGAATAGGAACACACATAGCTAATGACAACATCTGCTCTGATAATTCCATCACCTTAGCACTTTACACTTTATGTCATCAGCCCATTAGCCCTGTATAAGAAGAAAATAACAGAACTGTGAGTGACTATACAGGAAGAAAAAAAAAAAAACACTGGAGAAAAAGAAATTGCTTAAAACTCCTGGTAAAAACTGTCAATAATTATTTACCTTCTACTTTGTTTTCTTTTGAATGGAAGTAACATTTCTTCATAGTTTTCTGGATGGCTCTGTTTTCACACAGTCCCTTATCTCAGAAAGGTTATAAACCTGAAAAATAAATTAAAAGCTCCTCATCATATACTGTTTGATTCCACGGAGTCAAACTATAGAATAATACATAACCAACCACTTCTGGTCTGAGCCTTATATCACAAACCTTGCCTCAACTGTCCCCTCATATGTTTTTTTAAACTCATCTCAATTTCCTGCCAACATTCATGAGGCGTGCTTTGTGTTTCAATTTTGTCTCAACTGCTAATAAACTAAACTCTCTTTTTAAAAAAAGAACAATTTCTTACCGTCTTTCATTATATAAATTGTAAGCCAAATTGTAAATACACATGAAAATAAATTATATGTTTTATCTCTATATTTTATAGTTTTGTTCTGTGGAAATACATGCTTAAAATTCTGAAAAATTAAATAATTTTGACGTTTCTTCGCCAGAATATTTCATTAGAGAACTCAGCCACACCATTTAATATTTTTAAATTGTAAACTTTTTTATAGCAGTTTTTTGTTCACAGCAAAATCAAACAAAAGTACAGAGAGTACCCATATACTTCCCTATTCCCACAAGTGTATAATCTCCCTCACTATCGACATCCCACACCACAGTGGCGCATTTGTTACCTACATTTGATGGAGCTACATTGACACATTATCACCCTAAGTCCATAGTTTACGTTAGGGCTGACTCATGGTGTTGTACATCCTATGAGTTTTGGCAAATATATAATGAAATGTATCCACCATTTTAGTATCATATAGAATAGTCTCACTGTCCCAAATATCCTTCCTGCTTTGCTTATTTATCTCTCCCTCCTCTTCAATTCCTGGCAACTGCTGATCTTTTTACTGTATCCATAGTTTTATCTTTTCCAGAATGACATATAGTTAGAATCATACAGCATGCAGCCTTTTCAGACCGTTTTTTTTGTTTTGTTTTGTTTTAACTTAGGAAGATGCATTTAGTTTCCTCCGTGTCTTTTAGTGGCTTGATAGTTCATTTCTTTTTTTTTTTTTTTTTTAAGATTTTATTTATTTATTTGAGAGAGAGAGAGAGAGCACATGAGACGGGGGGAGGGTCAGAGGGAGAAGCAGGCTCCCCGCCGAGCAGGGAGCCCGACGCGGGACTCGATCCAGGGACTCCAGGATCATGACCTGAGCCGAAGGCAGTCGCTTAGCCAACTGAGCCACCCAGGCGCCCGATAGTTCATTTCTTTTTAACACTGAAATGATATTCCATTCTCTGGATGTACCACAGTTTACTTACCCATTCTTCTACTGAAAGAAATCTTGGTTATTTCCAAGTTTCAGCAATTATGAAAAAAGCTGCTATAAACATCCATGTGCAGGTTTTTATATGGATATGTTTTCATTAGTAGTGTGAGTAAACACCAAGAAGTATAACTGCTGAATAATATAGTAAGAGCATCTTTAGTAAGAAATTGCCAAACTGTCTAAAAAAGTGATTGTAACATTTTGTATTCACACCAGCAATAAAAGAGAATTTCAGTTACTCTACATACTTGCTAGTCTACGGTATGTCCGGTGTCAAGGATTTTGGCCATTCTAATAGGTATGTAGTGGTAACTCATTGTTTTAATTTACAATTACCTAAAGACATACGATGTTGAACATCTTTTCATATACTTACTTGCTTTCTGTATATCTTCTTTAATCAAAGTTTTCAAGTCTTGTGCCTATGTTTTAATCAGGTTTTTTTCTTCTTGCTGAGTTTTAAGAGTTTTTTGTATATTATGGCTTATCAGATGTTTCTCTTGTAAACATTTTCTCCCAGTCTTTGGCTTATCTTCTTATTCTCTTGACATTGTCTTTTGCACAGCAGAGGTTTTTAATTTTAATAAAGTCCAGCAAATCAATTGCTTTTTTTAATGGATCATGCCTTTTGTGTTATATCAAAAAGTCACTGCCATATCCACAGTCACCTAGGTTTTCTCTATTTTATATTCTAGTTTTATAATTTTGCATTTTGCATTTCAGTTTGTGATGCATTTAGAGTTAATTTTTATGAAGAATATAAGGTCTATGTCTAGATTTATTTTTTTGCCTGTAGATATCCAGTTGTTCCAGCAACTCAAAGACTACCTTTTCCCCCATTATATTGTTTTTGCTCCTTTTGTCAAAGATCAGTTGACTATATTTATGTGGGTCCACTTTTAGGTCTCTGTTCTGTTCCTTTGATCTATTTGTCTATTCTTTCACCAGTATCACACTGGCTTCATTATTATAGCTTATAGTTAAGTCGTGAGTCAGGGAGTGACACTTCTTTGACTTTGTATTTAGTCAATATTCAGTTGGCTATTATGGGTCACTTGAATCTCCATATAAGCTTCATAATCAGTTTGTTAATATCCATAACTTATGGGGATTTTGAGTGGGGTTGCAATGGATCTATAGATCAAATTGGGAAGAACTTACATCTTGACAATATGAAGCCTTCTTATACATGAACACAGACTATCTCATTTATTCACCTCTTTGATTCTGCTCATCAGAGTTTTGTGGTTTTCCTCACATAGATCTTGTACATGTTTTGTCAGATTTATATCTAACTATTTCATTTTTTGTGGTATTAATGTAAATGATATTGTGTTTTTAATTTCAAATTCTACTTGTTCATTGCTGGTATACGGAAAAGCAATTTTCTTTTTATTGAAGTATAACTGATATGCAATGTTACATTAATTTCAGGTGTATAACATAGCAATGTGACAAGTCTATATGTTATGCTGTGCTCACCACAAGTGTAGCTACCACAGGTCACCAAACATTGCCATTACAATACCACTGACTATATTCTTTATGCTGTAGCTTATATCCCCATGACTTATTCATTCCATAACTGAAAGCCTGTATTTCCCATTCCTCTTCATCTATTTTGCCCATCTCTCCCTCCCTTCTGGCAACCATCAGTTTGTTCTCTGTACTTATGAGTCTGTTTCTGGAAAGCAAGTGACATTTAACCTTGAATCCCGCAAGCTTGTTACAATCTGTTATTAATTTCAGGAGCTTTCTGTCAATTCTTCTGGATCTTCTACATAGACAATTATGTAACCTCCTAAAAGTTTTAATCTATTTATTCTCTCAATTATTGTTCGTCTAATGAAGTCTTTATTTCTCCCTCACTTTTGAAGGATAATTTCACAAGGCAAAGAATTCTAGGGCAGTAGCTTATTTTCTCTCAACACTGAATATTTCACTTTACTCTCTTCTTGCCTGCATGGTTTCTGAGAAGTACAATATAATTCTTACCTATGTTCCTCTATGGGTAAGGTGTTTTTTTTCTCTGGCTTCTTTCAGGATTTTTTCTCTATCTTTGATTTTCCTGAAATTGTATATGATATACCTACATATAGGATTTTTTAATTTATCTTGCTTATTGTTCTCTGTGCTTCCTGGATTCACAGTTTAGTATCCGACATTAGTTTGGGGGAAATTCTCAGTCATAAATGCTTTAAACGGTATTGCCATTATGTATATGTTGCACCTTTTATTGTTGTCCCACAGTTCTTGGATATTCCTTATTTTTTCAGTCTTTTTCTCTTTGCTTTTCAGTTTTGAAAGTTTCAGTTGTCATATCCTGACGCTCAGAGATAGTTTCCTCAGCTGTGTCCAGTCTACTGATGAACCCACCAAGGCATTCTGTATTTCTGTTACTCTGTTTTTTATATCTAGGATTTCTTTTTAATTCTCTCTTAAATATTTATCTCTTTGCTTACATTATCCATCCGTTCTTGCATGTTGTCTAATTTTTCCATTGAAGCCTTTAGCATATTAATGAGAGGCATTTTTTAAAATTCTTGTTCTGATAATTCCCACCACTAGAGTATAAGTTCTATGAAGTTAGGAATTTTTTCTCTTTGGTTCATTGTTGTTTCCAGAGCCTGGCATATAGTAAGTTTGCAAATATTCATTGAATGAATGATTCCCTCAAAAGTGAAAAGGATTTTCAATCAAATTGACTCTCTACCTAAGATGTCAATCAGTTTGGATAGTTTTAAAACTCAATTGACTTATTTTATTTGGCTAGCAAATGCATGCAATCAAAAATATCATTATGTAGGCATAATTTATGTGCAATGTTCTCACATCTTCAAACTCTAGAACACAATATGGGACAAAATTACCTAAATGAGATTCAGTAATGTTTTAAATATGATCATATTACTATAGAAATACTTACATGATATCTGAAATTTAATAAAATAAAATGTTAAGGCTAGAAAATAAAATACTAAAACCTCAAAAAACTTCTTATATAACTGGGTAGTGAAATTGTAGGTATTACTTTCTTCTCTATACTTTTTGATGCTTTCCAAATTTTCTACAATGAATATGCATTAATTTTATCATAAGGGGAAATAATATGTAAAACAAGGAATTTTAAGATGTTGGAGGTAAACATATAAATTGCACAGTAAAAATAAAGATAGGTTAGAAAGAATGGTCTATTCTCTCATTTATCTTACTACATTGAGAACAAATGTGGAAGTTTTTTGTCATCTCCATTTTGACTACTAGTTCTAAAACTGTTTACTCATCAGGATGAATGATTTAATTATTATATCCTTCCTTGTTTTTTGATGCAAAATTTTTATTAGCATTAATTATTTGGGGGCTCTTCTTTCTGTTTCATGTAAGTACCGTATTTTGTTAATAAACTTTATTTTTAGTACATTTCAGATTTATAGAAAAATCATGAAGATAGTAGTGATTTCCCTGTACAACTCTGCACCCAGTTGTCCTTAAAAATAGCATCTAACATTAATATAGTACACTTGTTACAATTAATGAACCAATATTGATATCTATTTTTAACTGAAGTCCATACTTAATATTAAGACTTCGTATTTACTCAATGTCCTTTTTTCATTGATGTTCCTGAGTCCCATCCAAGATCCTGCATTGCATTTCAGTTGTCAGGTCTCCAGAGGCTACTCTTCACTTTGGCAGTTATCAGAGTTCCCTTGTTTTTGGTGACTTTGACAGTTTTGAGGAGTACTAATTAAGTATTTTGTAAA